GTCCAAAAGCCTACATTACGGTCCAAAGAAAGACCTTCCGACCAATCTTTGAGGATGCCAAATAAAGTGTCTGGTAAAAGTATGATCTTCTTGTATCATGGGTAATACCTTGTTCTCAGCACAAAGAGAGAGACAATCACAAAATGAGAGAGTCTTATCGGTGATAACCCTCATGGACACCGTAAGGCGACGGTAAGTTGAGAAAAAGAGCAAAATGAGAGAGGCTTGATGGTGAAAACCTTTCAGGGCACTACAAGTCGACTGAGGATTGTGGATCAAATAGGACAATTGGAGCGTCGAAGCCCAGTTTCACAACATAAAGGCATAACAAGAATTGAATATTAGACTCGCTTGACAGATCAGGCCGCTTAATCCAAAATGCATGTCATTGTCAGTGGAGATGGCCTTCAAATAAGATTAGTTCCTACTTTGTTCTTTTTCCTGAGTAAATTTTTTCTTGTTAGATACCATCTCTTCTCGTTTTTCTCCTTATTTTGTTCCTCTTGTTTTGTTTGAGTCCCTTTTGAGTCTGATTTTTGTCGAAACAAGTGAGAAATGACTTCAAAATCTACTACCAGCTTTTTAATCACACAAATCCGAGTCTAGCAAGCACATTAAAATGGCATAAGACACAGGAGAATAGTGTGTGCACTGAGTTGGTGATAGTGAATGTTCTTTGGGATTGATGTAAAATGCAAAGATTTGGTGAATATTAGAACACGAGTGCAATGCATCGGGCATAAGGTATTGGACTTGAACGAATCAGGAATTTTTTTTTGTGGTAAGGGTTGTCCGAAAAAACGGTCGACCGACAACAAGCAGTGTCTTCCAGGTTGAAGTCCAAGTTAATCGTGACAAGTGCAAGAGAAATCTCCCTCGTAGTCAAGGCCACAAACTAACCACCATGTTTTAAACTCACAAGTTTTCTTTGTCTGAAACAGGGATGAAGGCTCTGTTCATATCAAAGCTTGGAAGCTTGAATTTTTCAGGGGTAATGCCCCAATTCTGCTTACGCAAAGGCTAGTGAGAAGATCACACATCACCCCTAGGAGACGCACTTCCTGGTTGGGTTTTTCAGGTTATATTTTGTTTTAGGAGATGCACTTCCTAAATTGAAGTTTCACCCCTAGGAGACGCACTTCCTAGTCTGGGTCTTTCAGGTTATACTTTTGTTTTAGGAGACGCACTTCCTAAATTGAGATTTTACCCCTAGGAGACGCACTTCCTAGTTTGGGTCATTTAAGTTCATTCCTAGGAGACACACTTCCTAGTTTGAGTCATTGAAGTTTCACCCCTAGGAGACGCACTTCCTAGTCTAGGTTTTTCAGGTTATATTTTTGTTTTAGGAGACGCACTTCCTAAATTGAGATTTTACCCTTAGGAGACACACTTCCTAGTTTCGGGTCATTTAAGATCATTCCTAGGAGACTCACTTCCTAGTTTGAGTCATTGAAGTTTCACCCTTAGGAAACGCACTTCCTAGTATTGTCTTTCATGTTGTATTTTTGTTTTAGGAGACACACTTCCTAGTTTGAGTCATTGAAGTTTCGTCCCTAGGAGACGCACTTCCTAGTCTGGGTCTTTCAAGTTATATTTTCGTTTTAGGAGACACACTTACTAAGATGAGATTTTGCCCTTAGGAGACGCACTTCCTAATTTTGGGTCATTTAAGTTCATTCCTAGGAGACGCACTTCTTAGTTTGAGTCATTGAAGTTTCACCCCTAGGAGACGCACTTCCTAGTCTGGGTCTTTCAGGTTACACTGTTTTAGGAGACGCACTTCCTAAATTGAGATTTTACCCCTAGGAGACGCACTTCCTAGTTTTTGGTCATTTAAGTTCTTTCCTAGGAGGCACACTTCCTAGTTTGAGTCATTGAAGTTTCACCCCTAGGAGACGCACTTCCTAGTTTGGGTTTTTCAGGTTATATTTTTGTTTAGGAGACACACTTCCTAAATTGAAATTTTACCCCTAGGAGACGCACTTCCTAGTTTGAGTCATTCAAGTTTTACCGCTAGGAGACGCACTTCCTAGTTTGGTTCATGCAAGTTTCATCCCTAGGAGATGCACTTCCTAGTTTGAGTCACTTGAATTCATCCCTAGGAGATGCACATCCTAGTCGAGTCTTTAGTTTTACTCTCATCATTGAATCAATAGCATAGGTGATTTACAGTTTTGCTAACAACTCACAAATCTTCCTAGTGCAAACTGGGGCGGAAAATTTTGTTTGTTTTGTTGTTTTGATTGCAAGCACCCACCTGGAGAACGAGGGAATTCGTTTTGAAATTATTTCAAGTTTCAAGTCAGTAGTAGGCGCCCCCTGGAGAACGAGGGAAGTCATTTCAGAATTCTATTCAAGTTAGAATTAGCAGAAGCTCGCGGCGAGAATGCGAGTCGACAGTCCAAGATGACCAAAAGATGAAGTCTCAATCCAGAAAAAAAGAGAAGTAAATCCAAATGCAGAAGTAGGTGAAAGATGTGAACTGCTCAAGACATGATTGAAGTTATGAGCACTGCATGTCCGGTCTTGATCCGAATAAGTCGTGGAATAATGAATCAGCACCTGTAACTAGCAAGCATCAAGGTTCAAATCAAAAAGTCTGCATGAAAAACCATTCAAGACTCAAGATCAAGCTTCAGTAGACTTATAGATAGGAATCTTGTAACTCATAGCTGATAGGCTTGCTGCTTAGTTCTTTTAGATTTTGATTTGATGTAATAACAGGACCACGGACCGGAACCTCGACGGCACCTCAATCGGCTCTCCACCTCGGTAAACTTCGTCACTCTTTCTACTTCTAAACTACACGTGGCCCGATTCCTTTATAGCCGAGGATATGTAGGCAGCTTAGATACCAGGTCTCGGCCACATTCTCCTCTCTTTTAGTTTTTGGTCTCTCTAAATAAGGGTCAGGTAGAAAAACCTATCTCGTCGTTCTTTGTCTGAAAACTCTTCGTGTTTCCAGTCAAAGAGGGGCAGCTGTAGACATGTAATTTTTGACCCTCCCCAAGATTTTACATATTTTAGCATTTAAATATTTAGTTTAGGCCTAATATTGCTATTTCAACTAGTTTTGACTCTTTTACTTTATTTTTATCACAAAAAATAAAAATTACAAAAAAATAGTTTCATTAATGTTTCGTAGTCATACTATTTTATTAGGATTTTTATTTTATATAATCTTGAAAAAATACCAAAATAGTTTCACAATATAATATTGTTTATTTTAATTAATTAGGATTAGTTTTATATTTTTATATTATAAATTTTATATCATTTTTAGAAGGAAGAGTGAGTTTTTGGGTTGGTTTATCCCATTTTAAATGAAAGAGGTCCATTTTTTGTCTTTGAGCCCAATTTTGAAGCCCAATAAGACCTAGCCCACTTCCCCTTCCTCTTTAACCACCCTAACCCTACCTTCTTCTTCTTCTTAACAAAAAGATCCCTAACCCTAGAGAACCCTAGAAGAGCCGCCGCCGCCCTCTCATCTCCGTCAAAAAACCCGCCGAACCTCCTCACTACCCCCATCGCCCACCCCCCATCTCTCCAGCCGTCACACACACCAACCAACACCCCTTCATCACCTTCATCTTCAACACCCAAAACCTAACCAAAAAAACCTAACACCCTTAGAGCCGCCGCCACCGCCGCCCCCTCATCTCTGCCAAAAAACCCGCCAAAATCCCTTCTTCACCACACTACCGCCAGCAATCCCGGCCAAACCCCCTGAACCCTAGAACTTCTACACCCAAACCCGCCAACCTCCCATCATCGACCTCACATCTATAGCAGAACCATCTCCGTCGGACAGACCACCCCTGAAACCAGCGACCCATATTTTCACTCTCCCCCATCTCCGTCGTCAACCACCAACAGCCGCAAGAGAAAAACAAAAAACTTAAGAGGGGTTTTGGGGACGAGAACAGTAGCGAAAAACAGAAAAAAATTGCGCCGCTCACACCCACCAGTCGCCGGCACCCCCTGAACCTAGAAGACACCTACAGCAGTGACAAGAGGAGCAAATACAGATCTGAAACTAAAAAAAAGAACAAAAATAAAAAAAAAAACGGGCAAAAAGAGAAATGGAGTGTGGAGAAATTCGAACAAAAAATAGTTCACCGTTCTTATCCGAGCTTTCCGGTGCTAATTCGAGTTCCGTCCGCGGTTCGTCATATTTTTGAGTTCAAAACAGTGAAACTATCAGTTTTCCGGCTATTTTGAGGTTTAATTCTTTTATCCTCTATTCGTTTTATTCAAGCTTAATGTTAATTGTTTGTTTGGTGATATGATTCCATTGTTTGTGTAATTGTTCTCCATAGTTTCGAATCTGTTCGCTTAGTTATCTGCTCGTGTTTACTCAAATTGGTTATAATTGAACATGATTTTATCACAGTATAGAAATTGGGTTGCTGGGTAAAAATTACAAGAAAATTCAGCTTCAAGATAGTAACATTGTTCTTTTATTCTTGTTTTAGTTACTTTCCGAGTAGGAGCATGATTAGGTCGTCATCATTCGGGTAGGCAAACTTTAGGTTTTCTTCCTTTTATTTGAGGCGAAAGGTCGTTCCCTGTAGTTCATATTCAGGGGAATGCCCCGTAGACTTTGTATATATTTTTATCCGGGGTATGCCCCGTAATACTTGTACTTGGAGGCCGAAAGTGAAACTCGTAGTATTTTTTTTATTAGGTGGGGACGACCTCGAGCCTGTTTTTGTGTTTGCTTTTTTTTTTGTGTGTGTGTTTTAACCTCAATTGAATATTTAAAAGCCAACTAGATCGAGTACGCAACCGTACTAGTTACGGGACTCGGGAAATGCCTAAACCTTCTCCTGGAGTCAAATGAACCCCCTTACCCGAATCTCTGGTGTAGACTTAGTTTTGGAGTCCAAAGTAGTTTAAAAGAAAAATTATTTTAAAAACGGTGATCTGGCACACCGAAACCAATATCAGGTGGCGACTCTGGAAAAATACTTTTGAACACAAATTTTTGTCACTTTCTAATGGAAAACCCAGGTTGGATTAAACTTAATATTGATGGGGCCTTTGAAAAGCTAAAAAGTGGCATAGGTGGTATTTTCCGTGACAATACGGGTAAATGGATACTAGGATTTCAGAAGTTTTGTCATAGTCTATTCCCTCTTCATACTGAATTGCAGGCACTTTATGAAGGACTACAAATGGCACACAAGTTCAACCTATTTTCCCTGGAAATAGAAACAGACTCAACGGATGTAATAAACGCCATCAACAATGGCCACACCTCTTTATCTAATTTAATACACCCTTGCAGGTTGTTAATGCACCAGGAGAAGGGCCTACTAGTACGGCATAACTTCAGAGAAGGAAATGCAATTGCAGATTCACTAGCTAAGGAAGCAAAAAATCAAGAAAAAAAATATATGCCGGAGAAAACAAAACTGTTTACAGCACCACCCTTTTGTGTACAACACATGCTGAGCATGGACAGAAGCGGGGAAAGCAAACATTCAAAGCAACTTTCTATTTCAGTTTGTAATATTCTTACAACTCTAGGCAACCAAAACATTGCTAGTGATGCTATTTTGCATACAGGGTTGTCCAACGACAATGTCACACTAAGTGACACAATGCTATGTAATGATGCCTATTAACTTTTATATATATATGTATATATATATATATATATATATATATATATATATATATATATATATATATATATATATATATATATATATATTGATCCCAAAATGATAAATAACTCAAATAAAATGCAAGACTTAGTGTTGAAATCGAGACAAACAACTTATAGCTTTATTCCGGGGCAAGGCTTCCGAAGGCAGCAATAAGAGTAATGTTAGACGAAAAATAGAGTATTATTTAGTTTGGGAATAGTGTGTAGCATGAGTTTATCAGAATTTTTCGTGTCTTACAATGGTTGTTGAACCCACTATTTATAACTATACCTAGTGAACAAGGTCCTAGGATCAAGCCCCTCTTAAATGACAATAATGAGGTCATTGATGAATATGTAACGGCAGACCATGAATGCCAAAATTTTCTGCAACGACTGTGTTATTTAACACTGAGGAATATTCTTCATTAAATGTCATGTGGTGACAAACATTCATTTGCTTCCGTTGATTATGTTGCGTTCGGGATCTTTCCGGTGCCAACTGAAGTTGTTGTCCTCGGACCTAGTTTCTGCTCGCTTCATCTTTCATCTGTCTTCGGTTCCACGTGTCACACTATCATATGAACATTTAAAATAAACTGTTTTTACCCTATACAGATAGTCCCCCTGCTTTTCGCTTGTATATAAACTACGCTATAAATTCAACTGTACCGTTTTACGAGTAAACACAACTATAAGGTAATGTAACTTTTTTTATTCTTTTTTCAAATATGTTAAGTACCATTCATTTTATAATTTTTTTTTTCCATTTCTCTTTTTCTCATTTTTTAATCCTTCAACGCGTTGGTTAAGATGTGCTTCCATATAATTTTATAACTTCTCATATTTTGCTTCTTCTTTTTTTATTTTCTTTGTTTTTCTTAGTTATTAAACACAATTTCGTATTTTACTAGCTTTATTTTTTATTTATTGGTGTACAATAACTATTAAAAATATCTTCTAAACTTATTTATCTTTTTTTTTATATAAAAAAGGTACAACAAATCATAAATTTCATACTTTACTCATATGAGTTGGTAAAAGTTTTAATTTTGTAATTGAAACTTTTATTATTTTTTAAGTTAATGTATTATTTATTTAAAAGATAGTCAAAATATCGATACTTTTTTCTGCTATTAGTTACCAATTTATAATTATATAATACTTTTATTTTTTTAAATAGTTTAAATATTTATAAATAATATCTAGCATTTCTTTATATATATATATATATATACATACATATATATGAGTTAGTAAAAATATTAAATTGTTGTTGCAAATTTAATATAATTTAAATAATAATAATTTTATTTGGAAGATACTTACTAGAGTACTTTTAAGATGTTATTTATTAATTTATAATTATTTTATATATTTTATAGCTAATCTGAAAAAAATTATTTAACTATAATTATACTTGTCCAACCAAACATGACAGTGAGTATTATATTAACTACGTTCCAACAAATAAATAGGTCATTATAATTATTATACCATATAATTACTAGGGTATGTAATTATTCGGCCTTGTAATTACACATAACTTTTCAAACATACCCTTATAGCCTGTTTGTAAAGCCATCTTGAAATTGAATTTGGGTGTCATTACACAATTGGCGGGTTTGTCTGACCAAGTAATTACTTGGTCAGAATGAAATTGGGTGTAATTAAGAGTTGTAATTACACTCTTCACTTCTCAAGGGGGAGGTAAGAATTATTGGTAATTACACTGTGTAATTACAAGGTAATATAACTTTTCTAATTTTTTTTTAAAATATATTAAGTATTACAGTATTTTTTCTAATATTTTTTTATTTCTCTTATTCTCATTTTTAATCCTGTAACATGTTGCTTATGGTGAGCGTCCATATAATTTTACAATTTCTTATATTTTGCTTCTTTATTTAACACAATTTCGTATATTACTAGCTTTGTTTTCTATTCATTATCATAATTTGATTATTAATCTAAACTCATATTTTCTTTTTATTATTTAAAAAATATAACAAATTATAAATTCTGTATTTTACTCATATGAGTTGGTAAAAAATTTAAATTCATTATTAAACAGGTCAGTGGAAATTAACTATATGTAATTACACTAAAAAGGTTTATTTAACTATACGTAATTACACTTGTCCAACCAAACATGACAGTGGAAATTACATTGTAATTACCTTCTGGCAAACAAACAGGTCAGAGTAATAACTAGATTAGTAATTAACAGACAAGTAATTACACATGGCTTTCCGAACAGACCCTTAAGATTTTTAGCATTGAACTCATTGTATTAAAAAATGATGGGGTCGTATTTATTATTTATGTTAGGGTTCACCCTGATTTTCGTTCATATTATCTATTACTTGAAGAAAAAGTAAAATATTTTATCATAATTGATTTACTTTTCCTTAAAAAAAATATAAATTTCTTCATATTTGACATATCCCTTTCTCAGAGAAAAAGGTTGTGGACCTTTATAAATTGAGGATCCCTTGTTCACATAACAACACAATAGAATTCACAATGTAGTCGTTAAAAGGATCTTATTTAAGGGAGATTATTCTCTCAATAATTTTTATATTCTCTTTTATATTAGTATACCATATGTAAGGTCAATTGATCAAATCATATCGGAGTATTATGCTTCTTTTAGTTTATTTTTCTTTATTGTTTGATTTATCGACACTAATGTTTGCTTTGTTAGCTTTCCATGATGCCTTGTTATTTTCTATCCCAATAATTTATTATAATTTTAGTAGATTTTTACACATAAATTTATAATATGCGTTGAGTGTACTAGGTTCAAATAAAACAATATGTTGCATCTGCAGTGTGTGTATATATAGACGTAGTTATTAGAGTAGTGAATGCAATGGTTTTCTCTAAAACTATTGATAGTAATTATCGCAGGGTTAAATTTTGTCCGCCCAAAGTCACACCCGCGGCAGTCAAGTGTAGACTTGACTCAGCCTTTCCAACACTTAGCCAAAATTTTGAGTCTTTGGCCTTAGATTAATTTTAAGAAGCGAAATGAAGAGAACACAAGCCAATGCGAAAAAAAATTCACATTTGTATTAATCAGCTAAACATATAAAAGAACTCTCACTTTGCTATGAACACAAATCGTTCACATCCCACCTCGTCTAGCGAAGATCACAAGCGATCTTGTCCATTAAGGCCTGCCCAATGCCCAACCTAAGCCCTCTGGGAACACAGTTAGAAGGCCTCACGTTTTCCTCTTGTTTCCCTTCTAAATGTCACACGAAATACTCCCCCTCCACCCCACGTCTGACTAAGTCCAATGATACCTATTTATAGCACATAACCAACATTTGAGACTTGACAACGCATCGACACATGTCATCTACAACTTATATCACTTGTCGGGCTCAAGGCTAATCTGATCCTAGCTTGTAGTTGACACTCCCAACTACTTAGACCATGATACACACGAAATTTTAGTGGCTACAAGCATAAAGCCAATCTAGTTACAAGCATTTACAAAAGGAAAATGGCAGCTGCCTTGGCATGCGCATAACATGTGCATCTTTTGTTGGCCAGCTGTTGCATGCTCAAGGATGGCATTGCGCCAAGCCTTGCCCCTTTGGCATTGCTCTGCCCCAATGCCATACGCAACTTACCACCCATGACTTTCCTGCAGATGCCCAACGCCATTGCCACTCGCACACGTCTTGTCCGAGTTTCTTTCTTGTTTGTGTTAACCCTTGTTTCGCCCGTACCATTGCTTGTATTTTGCTTCATATAGACTTGCCTTAGTTATCTAAAGTTTTTGCCATCAACTCACACTGCTTTGTCTTAGTTTAGCCTGCCCTTGACACTGCCACACGCTAAAGTGTCCATTTGACTGTCTTTGGCGCGCATGCCATGCCATGTTGCACTAACTTGTCCATACTGCCTTGTCGAGCCTTTGCCAAGAGTGTCTTGCCTATCCCAAGACCTTGGCCAATACTTACCCACAACAGCCTACTTGACAATACCTCCCTCATTGTCTGCATGATCATTTTGCCCCGTACATAGGCCAATAGCAAAGCCATCACGCTCAATCATTGCCCCACTTTATGTCAAAGAGTCATGCCTCTAACAGTAATACCTTAGTGTTCGTTAGCCGTCAGTCGTGTGAACTTGCAACTTCAGAATTTAGATCATTAGGATCTTTTACATGATTGCTTGAATTTTGGGTCATTAAATATTAAATGGCAACTTTATTTTACTGATTTTATCAATTACAATCCACAAAAAATTTCATATGTTTTTTTTATCACTTATGTTCTATATTTTATGAATCTTTCACGTAACTTTTGATATAATTAAAATAATATTTATAATGAAGGTCATAAAACGATCTCCATTTAGCTAATCATCAATTCATGAAATAATAATTTCGATTAAAGAGGAAATATTTTCTTAAGAACAATTACAATTTGAGTAAAATAAAAAAAAATTACTCCACAAAATATCTAGCAAACTACTATGTTATATTTTACTAGATGTCATCGGTTGTTTCATGAATTTGGACCCTAGTAATTTTCCTTGTCCAGCTTGATTTTATGTCAGAAAATGAAACGAGCTATATACATTTTATTTAATTTTTTTTTTTTTTTACGATTTTCGAAAGGGCATGGAAAAAATTAAGTAGAGCAGTGGTCTATTTTTCTTTTTCTTTTATGAACATTTTATTATATTATGTAAGTTTATATGTTTGAGTTTAATTCGTTCTACATAATCAACCAAACTTGGTATGATAATTCTATTTGGATTGGATATTTACAAAATAAAAGGTCACGACTAACTATCTTTTCACTATAAAAAATATCAATCAATCATATATGGGTTATGTACATTTATTAATAATCGCATCTAATTATGATATGGGTCCTCATATGTACATTCTTCACTTTAATTTATTGTTTAATTATAATTAACTAATGCGTTTTGATATAAACATCATATGTA